TAGGCTTATCTTATTCATGGTAACACAGACTAGAAATACAAAATACGTAGGTGTTATAATAAATGAAAAACTGTCATGGAAACTATACAAAAATCAAACAAAGCATTAGGATTTATTAAAAGAAATTTCTATAAATCAAATTAGAACATATTAAAATGTTATTTAACCTTGGTTAGGCCAATAATGGAATATGCATCATCTTTTTGGGACCCCTCTACTCAAGAAAACATTAAGAAACTGGAACAGACACAAAATAGAGCAGTGCAGTGGGATTCATATCAAACGAATATTCACATTTGACTAGAGTAACACCTTTAGTAAAATCACTAAATTTAGACATCCTTCAGGGTAGAAGACTTAAAAGTAAAGTAGCAATTATACATAAAACACTGAACCATAATCTTCAAAAACAAAATCTAAGAACATACTCAGAAAGACACAAAGATAAAGGCACATTCCTCGTTCCATATACTAGGACAAATTGTACATATTATATGCTCCTTCTTCCCTAGTGCTATTAGAGCATGGAATGAGTGCCAGAGTTAGCCAGGAAAACCAGTGACTTAGCAGAATTTAGGTCATTGGTTGCATGACGCGTAGGATGTAATCATCTTTTTTAAAGTAACGTCTGTATTATATTTAATAAGATAAGAGAAGATTATAAGAATATTAGTGACAACATCTAGTCTTATAAGGATGAAATGTTCACTGACTATTTTAAGTATTTGAAATATTTATATAAAAATATGTATTAGTATTCTTAAGACTAAGAGTTAAATAGTTTGTAACATTTTCAGAAACTGATTACAAATCAGATATATACTAATATTAATATCTAGATCTACATATATATTCAATTGTAACATATTTTTGCTGTAGTCTAGCAATCTAAGAGTGTAAATCTAGATCTAGATCCAAATCTGGTAATTAAATTCTAGTTGGAAAAAGAATTTTAAATAGATTTACTAACTTTATTTAGGCTTCTTTTTACTTTAATTGCTCGATAGCTCATGTAGTAAAATGTCTAGAATACAACTACAAATAATGAATAATTTCATTTCTTTTTTTTTTTTTTTTTTTTTTTTTTTGTGACAGCTGAAGTCCTTTTTTTTTTTATAAGTATAGATTGATTTTTATCTTATAACTTCATTGTTTTGTGTGTGTGTGTTTGTTTGTTTTTTCTGTTTGATTCAAGCAACCCATTCTGTGCTTTTTGTGTAACTTGGAATAAAAGTTATCTAATACTTTTCTAGAAAATAAATGTCAATTTGTCTGATACGTTGCATTAGAAATGAGTATTTATCTTTGTGTCTTTCTGGGTGTTATATAAGGTTATAGTGTTATGTATAAGAACTGTGTTAGTTTCTGCAATAAATATATAATTAGGATGTCTGGAGTGTAAAATTCATTAAAAATAATTTGGAATAGCCACTGCTTGTTTTATGGTTTTTCATACTATTCTAAAATGTTCTGTTTCTATACCTTTTTTCCCCCCATACTTGCACGCCAACTAACTCCTTGAAAACTTTTGTTGGCAATGTTAGTGTAATTTATATTTTGTATATATTATACATTTGAAAGGAGTGCTAGGAATACTTGCTTTATTATCAGCTCTTTTATCTTCAGGTCTGTTTATATTAATTGGGGAAAAGCCACCTAAAGTGGATACTGTTGGAAATATCTAGGCAATGTCAGAACCAAGTCGTGCAAGGTCAGGTGCCACAGATGGAACAAGTGGGCCACCAAGCAGTGCTAGCAAATCTAATGCTAAATTTGCTAAAAATCTTAGCACCTCTGGAAGAAGGTAATGTTTAAAAGTAATATTGTAGACTATTTTCCTTGAATAATTAGCACAAGTAATACTAAATAAATTAATAGAAATAAATGGATAGTCATCAGGTTTTATATATATATATATATTTGCATTTGGAAGATGGTATCTTTTAGTAATTACAAACTAGGTGCACAATTTTTAGGTTAAAAAAGGCATAGTTGTTAAAAATGTACATAAATTGGCTAATAATAAGATTTCTTTTATTAACAAACTTAATTGCATGTTTTTAATTATTTTGGTCATTTCAGATTGCAACGAGAGCTCGCAGAAATAACATTAGACCCACCCCCAAACTGCAGGTTAGTTTGACTGAAGTTTAAGGTTAATACTTTTTTTGGTGTGAACACTATTAATTATACTAGTATTGCTTTCACAAATATAGTGGTTTAACAGTAAAAAGAGTCACAGATGAGCTAAATTTCTCCAGAGTTGAATATTTTAGAGAGATGTTTTATTATGCCTAATTTAAATTTATGCACTGCTCCCATTTCTTAAAATTTGTATAGGTTCAATCCCAAGACAAAACCTACTTCCTTTATATTTCCATTTACAGCTCAAAATATTTAAAATAATGCCATCCTAAGGGATTTTATTTTTCATTAACTACAAAAACTAGTTTAACAATGTAAGAACAGTAGTTCCATTTTTCAGACTATATTGTAGAAGTAAGAAGTAAGCAAGAAGAATTTCTTTTTCTATAATATAATCAATCAAGACAAGCAGATGATAATCCAAGATTTGTTAAGCGAGATGTGATACAAATATATCTTTAAAAATATATATATATATACATTATAAAAAAATATTAGTTGCTTAGATGTCACTGTGTTTTGACACCTAGAAGGTATGAATGAATGAATATTTAGTTTTTAGTAAATAAGTGTTTGATTGTTGTTAATAAACAGTTGTAGCTCCAACAAATCAATGTAGGTGTACTATTTTATTAAACTTAACTAGATTAAAACTTGAACAAACTTTTGAAAAATGATTTTATTTAATATTGGTTATATATATGTTGGCTTCTGTTTCATGTATGTAAAAACACAAGGGTTGAAAACTACATATCTTGTCTTTCTGAGATCAGCTTTGATAGATTTATTTGTGGCTACATCAGAATCCATTCAGCCAACACAAACAAAAATTTTCAGCCAATAAAAACATGCACACACTCTAAGAAAACTACCATTTCTAATGATTTTTTTTTATATAATTATTAAGGATGTTTGAAATATATTCATTCCAGTAAGTTAATTGCGCTTCTTTGTAATTGTAGATACAAGCTCTTCTTGTTATCATTTTCTCCTTAACAGTGCTGGTCCTAAAGGAGATAACCTGTATGAATGGAGCTCCACAATTTTGGGGCCCAAGGCATCTGTTTACGAAGGGGGAGTCTTTTTCTTGGATATTCAGTTCACCACAGACTACCCCTTTAAACCACCCAGGGTAAGAATACCTTTTGTTTGATTTGTTGTTTATTGTTTTTATCATTTTTTTTGTTTGTTTTTATTTGGATAACATGCCAGCTATCTTCAAAATGGTGTTTAAGGTTTAAGAAGTCTGTATGTAACATAAGGTATAGATGAGACAGCAGAAAACTATGGAATAGAAAACAATCCAAAGAAAACAGTGTTAACCAATTTTTTTTTTTCATGAGTGATGAGCAAGCTATTTTATGAGAACAAATGAATATAATTAAGAAGGCTTGAATCAAGGTTCTTTTAAGAAGTATGTGTCAACTTGTCTTTGGTGCTCAATTTTAAAAAGTTCTGCTTTAGCTGCAGCAGTGGTTTAATTATAAAATTATCATTGTCATATAAATATACAATTGCTGAAATTAAATATAGTTGATGAAAAATAAATGTGTAAAGTGATTGCAATGTATTTCACTGATAGACTAGCATGCAGATTATTTAATGTTGTTTTTTTTTCTAATGAACTTGTTTGTTCTCATTCCAACACAGGTTGTGTTTCGCACACGTATATATCATTGCAACATAAACAGCCAGGGAGCTATTTGTTTAGATATTCTCAAAGACAATTGGAGTCCAGCTTTAACTATTTCAAAGGTAAACAGTTTGTTCAAATATATGACTTTTTTCTCATCCTGTAATTAAAAAACAACATGTTTGAATCATGTTCAAATTCTTAATATTATGTTTTAAGGTGATTCAATACATTGTGCAGAAGTGAACATTTATACATTCTTTTTGCTTGAGACTTTTTTTCCTTGGCCTTCCACCAGGTTCTTTTGTCGATATGCTCTCTCCTAACAGACTGCAATCCCAACGACCCACTGGTAGGAAGCATTGCTCAACAGTATCTTACTAACAGAGAGGAACATGACAGGATTGCCAGGCAGTGGACCAAGAGATATGCTACGTGATGACAAAAAAAAATAATCAAGGGGCATTTTTTTTTTCTCTACTTTCTTTTTTTAACAATAACATGGCATTGAGGCGTAGCATTATAATTGTACCTTGAGAAAATTCTGAAAATGTCTCAACAAAATAATAGTTTGTTCAACTTTTTAAAATATTGATTTTATAATAGCAAAACCTTTTCAATTTTATTTTCAAAAGATATCTTTGTTTTAATGTGTTATGCTATCCAACCTTGTTCTATCAAACTTCTTGTAGTCTGCTTTGACCTATTTACTTTTTTTTACTCCTTATTGTCAACTATTTGAAATAGTAGTAGCATTGTATAACTAGGCAACAGTAAATTAAATATTTTAACGAATTATTTTCATGGTTTCGTTTAGGAATTATGTAACAACCTTTGAAAATGTACCAACGCTGAAAAATTTATCATGTTTTGAAGATTCAGACTAACTGTAAGGGTTGTATCACCACAGCCACTTAAGAATTCAGCGTATACTTAATTTTATTTGATATCTTGTCCAGGATATTGAATCCTTTACAAATGTACATTGAGAAATATTGCGTTTGTAATAATTTTAGTTGATGTAACAAGGGTAAGGGCATGTATAATGAATTTCCATGGCTCTAGGTTGACCTTTTGGTAGTTCTTGTTCTGTTAAATACCAGTGCATATTTTTTCTTTTTGAGTAATTATCATTATCTCCTGAAAGAAAATATAGAAGCAATGTTTCTTTTTTAGTTTTGTATGCTCTCTAGGTTTCTAATGCCATGCTTTTATATTTTGGATCTGCCATTTTTTTTTTTTTTTTGTACATTTGTTGTGTATATGACTGGTTTTGTTTTTAAGTCTCAACATTAATATGTCTTTGAAAATGTTGTTAGATCAGTAGATGTTTTGAAGTGAAAATAATGAAGTAATTTTTTTGTGCGAATGTTATTTTGAGAGTGTAAATGGTTACGTTGTTGTTCAACATTTATTTGGGCTAGTATGTTGTTATTGTTTTGTAAATAATGTAGAGTTATAGTATGAAGAACTTTGTTTCCTCCAAACATTTTTCATTCCTCTCTGAACCACGAATAAAAATTGAAATTTTCCTGCCTGATGTATTTATCATATGTAGACTAATTATGTGCCTAAATTCTTCATGAGAACATGAGCTCCTTTATAATGATTGGTACATCAATTTTGACAGTGTCCACTAATCTTTCTTTTTATATATCTTTATCTGAAACATAGAAATTTCTTAGAATAATTATTTTTAATTTAGCTACCAGTGCATAAATGTTCTTAAATACAAATCTAGTGGAAAATTTAGACTAATGGATTACATGTTTCAAGATTTATCCTCAATTCCACAAGACTATAATTTTTAGTTTTGATATTTTGGCTATTCTGCACATCGACGCAATTTAGGCCATGTCATGCCCATTTAGTTTTTAATACTGCTATATATTATAGTTCCTAACCACAGTTTTTGCTTTAAGATAATAGTGGCCATACCATCATTATATTGCTTTATATGCTACCCTGTCTTTGTAATTTATCAGTATTTGACTTAGTGATTGATATGATGAGAGTTAACTTAAGTAAAAAGTAAAAGTACCCTTTCAGACCTTGCAGTAATGAGAAGGTCCAATAAATTCTGTCTATTCTTAATGGTAAAACAAATGGTTTTTATATGACTAGGGTTGTGAGAGTAAGAAATCTTAAACAGTTGTAATACTTTTTAGCTTCATTTGTCATGAGTTATATGTGACATGTTAGTAATGATATATTTTTTACATCTAATTTATTTAAAAATTGTTATCTGAATATGTTCAATATCACTAGCAATATTGTAAATTAGAGTTCTTTTTTTTTCAAAGAAACATACAAAGAGTGAATCTTATTTTCAATATAAAATAAAGTCTGAGTTTATATAGAAGTCTATATAACATCTTACTCCTAGAGAAAACTATCAAGATAATGAATTTATTCTAGGAATTTGAAGTTCGGTTGGGGGGGGGGGGGGGTATTTTTCTTATGTACTAGTTGTTGGGTTGTTGTTTTTTTGGTATGGTATAATTTGTGTTTAATGTTATATGGATGTCTGATCATGAATACAAATGTCTGCTGTGTTTGGACTGATGTGACAATCTATGTGGGAATATGATTTGTGTCAACTGTTTGCATGTACATAATTTTTCATTTGGTAAATTAAAACAAGTCAATAATGGAAACTTTAACTGATTTCAAATTATTCATTCTAGATAAAACTCTCATTTCTTACAGTATTTCTAGTTGTCTGGGTGGTTATCAAGGGGCTGAAGTTCAAATTCTGACTTGAACTGAGTTGTGTTTGCTGAAGCATGGAAACCTTCTGTTACCCCTTCCCATTACCTATGTCTACAAATAGATTGGACCTTATCACACTGAACACATCACTTTCACCCATCATTTAGTCTATTAGGGCACCACACATTATTTGTTGACTCTCTCCACGCCACTCTTCTTTCGCCTTTGCTAGCATCTCTGTTAATGTCATTCCCATCTATGCTTTTTCTGTACTGGTCGCTACATAAAGGACATTGTGATTTAGCCATTTGCATTTTATAAAGTTTATATCAACTGAACTCTTGTCTTTGTGGCCAAAAGTTTGAACACGTTATTTCTCCCGCACTTTGCATAATCGTTCATTGGGTAGATCAGTGATGCCCGCGTGCCACATCCAGCCAGCGACGTGATTTTATCCGGACCGTCAAAACGTCAGCACGAAGTGTAGAAAATTTTCCTCTCTACAAAAAAAAAAAGGTTTGAAAAAATTATCCTTTAATACGTTAGGGTAAATAGATAGGTACCGATTTTAAGCCAAAATGTTTCTTTTTTAAAGAAAAAGTGGCTGTTTTGAAAGAACCTAACATTCAACAGCTTTGTTAAACCAAACAAATAACTAAAGCGGCTTTCTTGAGATACGATTGTTTGCTGACACCTCTGGAGGATTGATTAGAATATTTGCGAAAAAGAGACAGGAAAATGAGTAAGGCTAGCTACAGAGCTGCTTGCATTGGAGACATGGAGCCATTTTCCGACAGCCAATGCATAAAAAGTGCTTGCTAGCACTAGTAGCAATGGTGGAAGAAATGTGTCCTGAAAAGAAGAATGCTGTTGAAGCTAACAACCTTTTTTACGACAATTACTAGGCGAGTGAACGATGTTTGGTAAATATCCACATTCAAAACTAACAGACAAACCAGATTTCGAAATTTTTTTATTGCCGCTGACGAGTCTACTGACATCTGATACCACTCAAAATTTTGGTATGTATTTGCGGTACAAACAGCAGTTAGTAACTATGAGGAGCATGCATGGGACCACTACTTGCGAAGTCATGTCAAAAAAAAAGTTTCAACCATCACATAGTATCTTTCTTTTCCTTTGGAGAAATTAGTGGGATTGGCTATTGATGATGCCATAAGTAAGTTGGCCACCTAATTCACTTCGCCTAGGGCCTTCAATTATCTAAGGCCGGCCCTGCCGGTGAGGCTGCCAAATGGACCACATAAAATGTCCGGTAAACGTGATTAGCCTCATCTTATCTTGTAATACTACGTAAGACGATGTAGAAACACTCATATCCACAAAGATACAGACAGAAACATCTCATTTATATACATATTACATGTGCGCCTTCAACTTCGGATGTCTTTTAATAATTCAGTGCAGGGCTTTTTTTGTGACGGTACGTACCGGTACCGCGTACCGGCACCTTTTTGAAAAAGTTATTATTTTTCTTGTATTTTAACGTATATTATTAATTTTTAGTAGTTAAAAGTTAGGCATTCAACTACTGAGTACTGGCACCTAATCACTGGGTACCGGCACCTATTTTTTTTAAAAAAAAGCACTGATTCAGTGTCGGTAAACGCGATCACAAAACAGTATAGTAGTGTCTTAAGCGGGCAGGGTTCCAACTCGGGACCATGGAGACGACACCCTGGAGCGCATAACACACAAATAGACAGACATCAAATGTTATGCTTTACTCTTTTAGTTATATCAAAATAATGTGACAGACTAATTAAGATTTCGATTAAACTGTAGATTATTATTTTTTACAAATTGAGATTTTCTATAGCCCATACGTCTATTTTACATGTAGATACAAGTAGACTTTTGCCAGTAGATGTTAGACGATGCCCTGGAAACCCACGTTTGCATGCATGAGTTCAGTTTTATGCATATCATATGCAATCAAGTTGTGGGCGAATCGTATTGCAATGCCCGGACCGATTTTGACACCCAGTCCGCCCCTGGTCCGGCTCTATGTTTATAAGTGGCAAACGCTAATGTCATCTCAACGAGTACAAATTTCTAGTCGGTTTATTTTATTTGCGATAAGGTTCATTACGGCAATGAATACGCGTTGTACGAAGACCCATAATGTAGGATATAAAATTGAAATATGTTTTTGTACTCATAAATTGTGGTATACTTGTTCAAACATTAAAGATCCTCATTAAAAGATATTTCAGAAAGCTGCTCCTGTATTAGTATGAATTTATTTGTGATTGGGTAATTGGGCTCTGAGTTTGTATACGCGCAGAAAAGATATAATGCACAGTCGGGAATATCGAAGTGAAAAATGTTTTCAAATATTTGGTTGAGGTCGTCATAGAATAGTATGTAATAGAAATTATCAAAATAATCCTATCGTACAAAATGGCTTCTTGAAAAGAAATTATTTTAATTTTATACAATTTTCATCTTTCTGAGAACCATCTACAGCCGTCTCGTGGTCCGCAGACCTCACTTTGGGAAACACTATCTTACGGAGTACTGCCAGCGATAATCTCGCGAAGAAACGAGATACTTTCACATCCGGTTTCTTCATTAAATTACTAATTTTATTCACTTGTTTCTAGATCTTCTACATCTAGATTCTAGATCTAGAGATTTGATTCTAGATTCAGATTTTAACAGAGTTTGGTGGTCAAGTGAATACTACACACAAAATGCCTAGAAAGTGAGTTGTCTTATCTTGTCATTGATGTATTTTTAGTATCTTTAAAACCTTAAATATCCAATGGCAGTATAAAAAAATAATCCATATAATTAATCATATATTAATATTTAACTAGAATGTCTAGAATTTTACTAGAATAACTTCAATAAGTATAAGAATTCTTTTAATTAGTATATTCTAGAATCTATATCTATGTCTAAAATTACTATAAAATTCTAGCTAAGAGTAAGAGTAAGTTCAGTAAGTCTGTCTCACTCAGACCTCACTTAGACTTTAAAGTTTAGGTCTTAGACTCATTAGATATATTTTATTTATTAAAGTTAAAGTCTTAGACTCACTAGAAATGACTAGATTCTAGACTCCTCTACCTCTATGAGTATTAGAGTTTAGAGTATTACTATTTATTAGACTAGTAATCTATTCCTCTAAACTAATTAAAGTTAAAGTCTTTACTAAGTAAATAAAATACTTCTAAAGTTCTATAAAAATATAATCTACAGAATGTCAGAATACTTACTATAACTAAGACTAAGTCAACGTGTTAGATTTGAAATTTTGATTAGATTCTTGATACAGATTCTAGATAGATCTAGATTCTATTTGCATGGACTAGATTACTAGATTAGATTCTAAAGTACATCTATTTTAGTGTGATCTAGATTCTAGTTCTAGATCTTATAAAAGCTCTAGACTCTAGATATCTACATTCTAATTCTAGATTTACCAGACTCTATTTAAAAATATGACAATCTTAATAACTTGTGAATCTAGCCAGATCTAGATCTAGAATCTAGTCATCATAAAAAGAAATGGAGGATCAATATAAGACATAAAAACCTGTTTAAGTTTGGAATCGGTGGTCGTGAGCAAACTGTGAAAAATCTGCAATAGTAAATAAAGACTTAAGTAACTTGACTCTTGAGCTTCCAAATGTAAAATTAAAACTTTTTGCTAGTTTACTCTGCACTCCAACTAGTTAGATCTATAAAAAATAATCTATATTAACTATTTAGTCATTTTAGTTGTGAAAGTTGGACACTTATGTCTGAGGCTGAAAGAGTTCAAGTGTAGATTATATAAAGTATATTTGAGAGTATATAGTAATATAGATCTAAACTAAATCAACTAAATGCTATAGAAAAAATGCTAGGTATCAGATACCAGGAAAAAAACAACAGAGTTTCTACTTTTACAAGTCAACACTGGCTAGCAAAAAGGAGGAACTCCTCAATACAGTAAAAAGACTAAAGCTGGGCTGGTTCAATCATATTCTTGTTGTTAAAAGTCATCCTTCAGGGTAAAGTGGATGGAGCAGGAAGTAAGGGTATTTGGAAGCTAGCTGGACAACATTAAAGAATGGACCAGCCTCTCTCTTGATTTCCTGCTAAGAACAGCTGCTAACAGCAAAGTCTAGGGATTTGGTTATGTGAACCCCTATGATGAAAGTCAAGGGACAAATTATGATGATAAGACTAGAAACTATCATTTATCTAGAACTAGACTACAATTGCATGTTAAGATAAATATAAAATCTATTAAGAAGCTCAGTCAACACTAGTTTAAGTTAAGGTTTAAATAGTAGACATCTATTTTTATTTTTGTTGCAGGCGGCAGGATAGTCCTCGAAATGGTCATGACAAAAGTGAAAATAGGCAGGATAGTTCTAGAAAAGGTCAGGACAAAAATGAAAAAAGGCAGGAAAGTTCTCGAAATGGTCAGGGCAAAAGTGAAAATAGGCAGGATAGTTCTCGAAGTGGTCATGACAAAAGTGAAAAAAGGCAGGAAAGTTCTCGGACTAATCAGGACAAAAGTGAAAATAGGCAGAATAGTTCTCGAAGTGGTCAGGACAAAAGTGAAAATAGGCACGATAGTTCTCGAAGTGGTCAGGACAAAAGTGAAAATAGGCAAGATAGTTCTCGAAATAGTCGGGACAAAAGTGAAAATAGGCACGATAGTTCCCGAAGTGGTCAGGACAAAAGTGAAACAAGTGGTAAAGGACCTTTGGAAACAGGTAAGAAATCAGATGACCTCATGTCAAGAACTGGAGGTGCATATATCCCACCTGCAAAATTGCGTATGATGCAGGAGCAGATCTCTGATAAATCAAGGTGAGTATTTCACAAAATTTGTATGCACAAATAATGCAATTAATTCCAGTTAGTTGGACTTCTGTTTAATAATACTTAATCCTAAAGTACCTAGGCAATTCTATCATAGA